CATCATCCATTGGTCACTGGTGAACAAGATGTTTACATGACATGTTTGAGTCCAAAAATGGGGGCATCTTCTGTCAATGTGTCCCCTTTGCCAGTGGGTGAGTCCCTTGTACCAAACCTCTCAGGTAGTTTGGGAGTGCTCCTCAACTCTGAGTTTTCCCTGGAGTTCCAGGTGACTGCTGTGGTGAGGGGCACTTTCCTCCAGCTTTGGCTAATCCTTCAGCTATGCTTCTAACTGAATGAGCAGAGCCTAGCAACAGTGACCCATGCATTGGTAACCTCCTGATTGGACTATTCTAATGCGCTGTACATGGAGCTGTCCTTGAAGATTGTCTGGATACTTCCATTGGTTAAGAATCTAGGATTTTAACAGGGACTGGCAGTTATGCAGATATGATGGTCTTTTACCATCTACACTGGCACCCAATTGGTTTTGTCCCAATGTAAGGGGTTGATGACTATAAGGCCCTGCACAGTTTAGGACCTGGATATCTGAAGGTGTGTCTCCTTGTACATATACCTGCCCTCCGCACAAGATCTGAGTTGGAGCTCCTTCGGCGGGAGCCCTTCTTGAAGGAGATCAGGAGAGTGGCTACCTGGAGAAGGGCCTTCTCTGTGGTGGCACACTGATTATGGAACATGCATCCCAGAGAGGTGTGCCTGGCACCAACACTTGATTCATTTCAGCCCCAGGCCAAAACCTTGTTATTTTCCCAAAATTTTAAGTTCTGATCTTGTTTTATGGAGGGGTTTTATGGTTGTCAAGTGATGTTTGATGTTACACTGTTACTGTATTACTGTCCTGTGTCTTTCAGTGAAAAGCTATAAAAGCTTTAAACAAACAAAGAAATAAATAAATAGCACCTGTGACTCAAAAGGGGTCTCCCCATGGCACCTGTGTTGTTGGATGGGATAGATTTAAAGACCAACTTTAAGGTCTGGGATGTGGGCAGTTGTTGGGACAGGCAGAACGCTGGGACCAGGGTTCTGGTGTGAAGCCAGGTCCTGCTGCTTAATAGGGCTAGAGGCTGGTGGTGTGGTCATGGTCAAGGCAGAGTCAGGGTCAAGGTTGCAGACCGTCCAATATCCTACAGGCAAGTGAGAGAGCAGGTCCAGAAACAGTCCAGTGGTCTGATGCCAGGGAAGCTGTCACATAAAGGTGGTCCAGGCAAGAGGGGGCAGGAACAACTGGAACAAGCAAGAATACACAGGAGCAGGGCTGAAGCAGACTAGGGCACAGTGGATCCAACAGGAGCAAGGCAGGAACAGACTGAAATTGAATAGAGCAAGGCAGGAGCAACTGGAGTATGATGGGGTAGGCAAGAACAACTGGGGCAGGCTAGGAACGAGGCAGGAGCACCTGGAGCTGGGCTCAGAGATGCACAGACCAGAGTACAAGAGTCTGCTGCACAACCTGCATTTCTGCAGCAAAGAGCAGCAGTGCCAGAAAGCCTTTTCTGCTGCTCTTCAGGACCTCCAGCTGCACTGCATGATTGCTCTTCAGTTGCCCCCTGCAAGAGCACTCCTGGTTCTGCAGACACTTGCAGGGTCACTCAGGCCCAATCCTGGGACCAACCATGAACTGGAATGCCCAATCAAGGTTAGCATCTTTCTCCCTGAGGAGCATATAGTGTGTCCTTTACCGAATGGAGCAGCCTTGTAGCCATGCTGTCTCATAGTGCTGTTGGGAGCTGGGTTTCCCCTTATTCCTTTCAAGCAACAGTCTGCTTGGATAAGAGGTCTTGTCTTCTAATATACATCCAGCAACCCATCTCCACTGAGGTTGAGTCTCTGTGCATGAACACTGTAGTTTGTTTTACCCTAACTCGAAACTACTTCTGAGAACCCCCCCCACCCTTTTTTTTTAGTAACCCTGGGCACCACTTTTCTGGGAGAGGCTGTCCAACTGGGTAGCCCTCCTTCCCTGACACCACATCATGGGGTTAGGCACCAGACCCGTGTCCTTTTGCTCCTTTCCCATTTTTCTTTCCTGCACTTGCAAACCCACTCAGTTCCCAAGGTCTGCCTGAACACTTGGAGATGTAGGCCTTCAGATAGCATCATCCTCTTCTGACATCTGTATGTCTCCACTCCTCAGTTCTCAGCCCTGGCAGTCCTCATTTGGTGAGCTGGGGGTCCCCTGACCCTGGAAAGCACTCCAAGAATAATGGGCTCTCCCCACTGCGTAAACCATCCTGAGATCCTATGTGGATTAAGGACATTTTAAACAAATAAGTCAATAATACAGGGTGGATGGTGAGTCTTCAGTGTCTCAAACTGAGAATGCTATTCCCTGGTATTACTTTCTTTCCCAGTCCCCCCAATATCACAGGGTGGGCGTAATGCTTCCTGAAGGCAACATAGCACCCCATACTCCTTGAGTGGTACCCACCAACATGTTCCACACCAGCCACGAAGATGGGCAAAGGACAGACACATAGCATTATCAGAAACCAGAAGCAGGAATTTGCTATCAGAGACCTCGAAACATAAAAAATAAAAATTGCATTCCTGGATCTGACAAGCTCTGATACAAAATTCTACCCTTCATCTGGGAGATGTGTCAGTTCCAGCCTGCAACTTGATCATCCAGGGGGTCCCTCACAACTGACCAGGTCCCTGTTAAGTGTGAAGGCCATTCACTACAGCTGAGCATGACCAGCCCAGCAGGTGTGTTATGAGTGTAAAATTGGATCTGGGCTGCACAGGCCCCCAGCAATGTATAGGGCAGGATCTTTCAGGTGAAGGGACTGGCTTTGTGGTCACTGTGGCCTCTTTTGCTGGAAAGTGAAGGCAGGCAGGCAGGCAGGCAGGAAGGAAGGAGGAGGACCTGCCAGAGAAGACAAGTCTCCAGCATGGGATTCCTCCAGGGGCAATCCTATCCTCATGTTTTTTGATATCTACATGAAGCTGCTGAGTGGAGACATCTGGGGTTTAGAAGTATGCTGATGACACACAGTTCTATTTCTCTAATCATTAACAATTAGTCTGCTACATATTTGGCAATAAACTTATTCATTCCAGTTTCCAATATGGCTGTGAAAATTTTTGCACCTTAATTTACTAGCAATATAGGTCTGTTAGGGCCCAGCTGCCATCCATTTTCCTTAAACATTTTGCTCAGTAATGTGGTATGATGTCTTTTTTTTATTTCAGCAGGCATCTAGTTATCCCCTAGTTCATTCATCACCATACTGAAATCTCCAGCCATTATAACATATCCTTTCTTTAATATTTCCAGTTCTTTGAAAAAACATTTAAGAAAGACCTTTGGGGTTTTTTTTTTGGTGCATATATATTAATTAATGTATAATCTTCTCTTACTTCACCTTGCAAAATCAAATACCTTCCTCTTTCATCTTTCTTTACATTTTAAATTTTAATCTCCACCTTCTGTGAATTAGCAATTGCTACTCCTTGATGTGGAAGATCCAAACTCTTTTTCATAGACATTCAACCATGCTGCTATAAATGCAATGCAACCCTCATTTTTTCTGATGAGTCTCCAGTTAAACTTTTGAATTGATGATGGATCTCCACCCTGAGGGTTTTTGCTAAACATTTCTGTCTGTGTTATTTTTTACAGACAAACCTGTGAACTGATCCTCCAAAATTTCTAACTTTTTTGTAATTTTTAGCCATCACTTGTGCTTTCACTTGTTTCTTGTGTTACATTCTCCTTTCCATCATTCTAATCCTAGTTTCAAAACCTTTCAAATGTTGGTGGACCTTTTCAGACTCCTCTCTTAGTCCTTCAGTGCCTTTCTCAAGTATTTCTCTAAGGCCTTTCATCTCCAATTCCATCTCTGCCTTTCCTTGGATTCCTGATGTCTGGGCCTTCATTTCTGAAGATGCAATTCAAGTTAGAAGCAAATCTGAAGGCTTGATAGAATAGTAGATGTGGAAGGGGCCATGAAGGCCATTGTGTCCACCCCGCTGCTGCTGCAGGACAGCGTGTCACACCATCCCACTTGGATGGCTGCCCATTTTCTTTTTGAATGTCTCTGGTGTGAGAGAGGTCACCACCACTCCAGGCAGCTGATTCCACTGTCACATTCCTCTGTCAGTGAGGAAGATGTTCCTGATGCCCAGCCTGAATCTGGGTAGTCAAAACTTAAATTGATTTTTATGTCAAAAGCTTTGCTAAAGTCTAGGTAGATTATGTTCAGAGCGTTCCCTTTGTGCCTTTGGGAGGTACCCAATCAAAAAATGAGATTAAATTAGTCTGACGGGATTTATTTTTGAGGAATAGAGCACCTCTGCCTTTTCCTTGTCATCTGTTATCACTCTGCCATCCACTTTAAGTAGCTGGACGCTCTTCTCTTTCCCAAATCTTCTGTTCTGCATATATCTGAAGAAGGCTTTGTAGTTATTCTTAGCATCCCTTGCTATTCTCACTTCATTTCCTGCCTTAGCCTTCCTGATGGTATTCTTGCAATCCCTTGCTATTTGTTTATATCCTTCCTTTGTGGCCTACCTCTACTTCCACTTCCTTTGATATACCTGATTAACAGGCTATGTATGCTGTGATAAGCTCAGAAATGATTTCTGAGGCAGCAGAGAGCTGTGTTGAAGATGTTTCTCTGAGCATCCAGAAGTCCCTTGTCAAGAGAAGGCATTCTTAGCCTTGCAAGAATGAGGGAGAGATGACGGGGGAGAGCATTTCAAAGTTTAAAGGAAACCATGAAGAAGGCCCTTCTCCTTGTTACCAGTGGCTTACCTGCCACCATGGTGGCAGGTGGAGGAAACCCCTGGATGCCAATCACAGTGTTTAGATGGTTGTGAGAAGCATTCCATCGAGGATTGTGTCCCTGCCCCTACCCTCACCCCTGCCCTGTTCTATTGACCATAAAATGTTTCAGGGGAGTTTACAAAATTCATTAGTGCCATTTACAAAGTACAATACAATGCAATCTAAAACAAGGTACAAGAGTCGCTTAGGCCAGATGTGTACAGGAAGTCAGTAGGAACAGTTCAGAACCATGGTGTGGACCTTCAGGTTCATTGGTCAAACTGCTGCAGTTTGCACAAGTGGCAGCTTCTGGCAAGTCTACAAGGTGGTGGGGGCATGAAGAAGGCATTATGCTGGACCCTGGACAAGGGGACTGTATCTACATTTTTCCCACTGGGAGTGGAGATATTCTGTTCAGAGGAGAGCAGAATAATTAATGAATCATTAGAAGGGACAACACACCAAGGGAGGCTATTGATGGAGGGATGTGGCTTTCAAGGGCTGACTTACTGTGCAAGTGTGTGCATTTTAAACAATAACCCCAACCATCAAATTTAGGGTACCTTTGAGGTTTAACAGCTGCTCCATAACCTGGAAAGTCCTGAGCACAAACTGAAACTAGCCTCCATTTTTTACTGTAAGTAGGATGTGTTGCTGGCTAGGCCTTGCCAGCATCCTGCGATGTACTCATTTTCATTCCCTTTCCTAAGCGTGGATTTATTTAAATATGAACTCCCATTTGGAACAAGTGTGTGCGAGCTAAAACTCCCTGCTCAATTAATCCTCCTGGGATTTAGCATCACGCTGAGAACTGGGGAAGCTTTTATTCCCACTTCTTTAAAACAGACTTCTTTAGAATGTGGACTTTCTCTTTGACCAGTGCTGCAAGAAGGGTTAGTTGCCACTGGATTTTCCCTTAGCTCTCATCTTAATAGCTGTGCCATATTCCAGGGAATCCCATGGACCTAGCATCAGATGCCAGCATTTGCTTTCATCATGAGATGCTCCTTTGTATTCAGGTCAGGCCTCAGGACAATGATGTAGCACTTGGGAAGAAAGATGCAGCCCAGCAGCCCAGCGCTAGAGGCCAACATGGAGAAGACCTGCACGGCCACCATGTATTTCCCCTTGGTGCTCAGGTAGGAGGGCACGAAGGACACCCAGACACTGCAGAAGACCAGCATGCTGAAGCTGATCAGCTTGGCTTCATTGAAGACTCCTGGTAACTTCCTTGCCAGAAAAGCCACTATGAAGCAGACAAAAGCCAGGAAGCCCATGTAGCCGAGAGCAGTGTAGAACATGGCCAGAGAGCTCTCATTGCATTGTAGGATGATGTGTCCAGCCTGGGAGTGCATGTCAGAGTCAGGGAAAGGTGGAGCCATGCCCAGCCAGGTGGAGCAGATGACCAGTTGGGTACTGGAACAGGAAATGATGATGGAGTTGGCCAAGCTCTTTCCCAGCCACCTTCTCACCTTGTTGCCTGGTTTGGTGGCCAGGAAGNGGAAGGCTAGCACCACAGTGATGGTTTTGGCCAGTACAGAAGAGACAGCAACTGAGAATATGATGCTGAAGGCCGTTTGTTGGAAGAGGCAAGTCACTTTCCTTGGTTGGCCAATGAAAAGGAAGGTGGAGCAAAAGGAAAGCAGGAGGGAGACGAGGAGAATGTAGGAGAGGTCCCGGTTGTTGGCTTTGACTAATGGGGTGTCCAAGTATTTGATGAAGATTCCTAAGACACAGCCTGTTGTGAAGGAGCAGAATAGGGCAAGGGAAGCCAGGGAGATCCCCAGAGGTTCTTCATACGACAGGAAGCTCATAGTCTTGGGGACACAATGATCCTGGTTGGAGTTTGGCTTCCGATCTGCTGGACACGCAGTACAGTGATCTGCATCTGAAAGGAGGGAGAGTGAATCCAGTTTCACTAACAGGAATCTGATATTATCAAGAACAGTCTCTGTTACAACACATTTGTATGGAAAAATTAGGGATGTACAGGACATGAAGAAAAACTAGCAGGAGTTGATGTCCCAAGGATGGTGGCTTTTTAATCTCTTCTTTCATGGTCCAGTTCCTCACCGCTTGATTTTGCTAATTAACTTCACAGTATGCTAATTGCCATGCCATCCAAAGCCAGAAAACTTAGCAGATGTGGGGTGCCCAACTCTCATGTATGTTGCAGCAAGCAGAATCCCACAAGGAATCCCTCCTTCCGCGCTGCCCGGACCATTGCGTTGCCGCTTTGCAGCGACGTCCCCGCAGCCACCGGCTGCCGCGCCCCCCTCCAGAGGCCAGGATTACCGGCCCAGGACCCGGCTCCGGCCTGCCTCCCTCGCGCGGGTGAGAGGGATGCCGGGACAGGGCGGAGCTCGGGGAGGGCCATGCGACCCATAAAGCACCGGTGGCTGGCCGGGGCTTGCGGCTTGGGGCTGGCGGCTGAAGGGCAGTCGCCACCGTTTGGGAGCCATTCGGGGGCCGAGCGGGGGGCTGGGCTGGCCAGGGGCTATATTTTAAATTGGTCCACCGGCCATGCTGCACTGCTCTGTCACTGTTGCTGCTGCTGCCCCCGGACTGGGGCATACTGCTGAGCCGGGGGCCAGCTGACGCTGCTCCTGTGGCCATCGCTGGACCACTCTGGGCACGGAGGATGCCAGGGCTGCGTTAGGCCCGCTGCTGATGGCACGGAGGAGGATGCTGTTATCTTCCTGCTTAACGGGTTTCTGTGCCCCTCCCTGCTCACCCTGCCAGTGCCAGCCTGGGGCAGGGCGGGCTTGGAGCTCCCTCTCCCTATGGACATCGGCCGAATTCTGCGGCATAGTTTTTCTGCTGGGCCGCGCTGCGCAGTCACTGCCGCTGCTGCCGTCGTTAGACTGGGGTATATCGCCGAGGGAAGGGGGAGTTTTTTAATTGCTTTTATAACTTTATTGTATTTTAATCTGTGTTAATTTGTTTTTATGGAGTTGTCCCTGGCCATGTCGACGTTGGTGTTTCCTGCGGAGCGCGGGGGCGGTGCCATTGGGGTGGTCATGGGCAATGGACGTAATAGCGGTGGGGACTTAACTTGTCCGTGTAGAAGAAGGAGGGACAGATGGTTGACACCTGTCCCTCCTTCTGGTTTTGCCCCCAGCCAGAGGGTTCCAGGTAGTCTTGTCAACCGCCCCTCAGGCCTGATGGTGCTGTTGCTCAATGCCAGGTCGGTCAACAATAAATCTTCCCTCATCCATGACTTGATTGTGGATGAGGGGGCCAACCTGGCTTGCATAACAGAAACCTGGGAAGGAGGGGGGGGATGTCGCTCTCTCTCAAATGTGCCCGCCCGGGTATCTGGTTCAGCACTGTTCACGGCCGGAGGGGAGGGGAGGGGGGTCGCTTTGGTTTACCGAGCCTCCATCTCTCTCATGGGACTTCCGGTCCCTTCGAGACCAGGGCTGGAGTGTCTCTACTTGGTGTTGGGCGACCAAGACAGATTGGGGATTCTGTTGGTGTACCGTGCACCCTTCTGCCCAGATGTCTCCCTGCCTGAGCTGACGGAGACCATCTCGGACCTGGTGTTGAGGACCTCCAGGATGTTGGTCCTGGAGGACTTCAATCTCCATGCCGAGACTGGTCTGACCGGGGCGGCTCAGGACTTCATGGCCTCCATGACGGCCATGGGGCTGTCTCAACATGTCACCGGCCTGACCCATGAACATGGACACACTCTGGACCTGGTTTTCTCGACGGGGCAGGAAGAGGGTGGTCTGAGGGTGAGGAATTTATGTTTGACTCCCCTGTCATGGTCAGATCACTTCCTGGTGAGGTTTGTGCTCGAGAGCGACCTCTCCCTCTGCAAGGGTGCAGACCCAATTGTGTGGGTCCGCCCCCGGAGCCAGATGGATCCAGATGGATTCCTGAAGGCCCTGG